TAGTAATAGCCCCTGCAGACTGCTCCTCGGCTTATAATTTGGCACAACTTCACCGCCCTGCAGATTGCACTATGCACCAACAAACATCCGATCTTCATCTCAACACTGAGTAGAAGGCGAGGCGGTTAGGACGAGCTCTGCGTTTGGGCCACTGGCCTGGCGCTTGCAGGGATCAAGAGCGTGCCCGACATCACCACTGGACACTGGCCGGTGGTTGCGAATCGTCGATGCCGGCTGACTATTTGAACTATGGCCGGCCGGTCGCCACACCCCGCACAACTTGTCTGAAATTTCTAACGTGTTGTACAGTACAAGTCAAACTGGTTTTTCTTTTGTTGTTTCGTTTGTGTGATTTGATCTAATTGGGATTTTTTTTGGTGATGTACTACATTTTTCTCTCGGTAGCAGTTGATCAGTGGTTGATTGAATTGGACTATAGACATAACAAATTTGTTCACTCCGTAGCAATTGCTTGCTCACTACTCCCTCTGTAAACTAATATAAGAGCGTTTAGATTAGATCATTAAAGTAGTAATCTAAACGCTTTTATATTAGTTTACGGAGGGAGTACATATTTGTTTTGTCGTCCGGCCCCCTAACCATTTTTGCCTAGCTCCACCACTGCAAGATACAAGTGAGACCTATAAACCCTGACGGAGGAAGTATGTCGTTGTTGTTACACTATTTTAAATAAAAAAAGATAGCGGATAGCGGATAGCGGAGTCTAGTTATTTTATTAATCTGATGATGAAATATGAATGTGTGACTTTGACTTGAGCACATTGACTGTGAATCATACTGCATCTGACTGCCGTTGAGAAGTCGTGCTTTGCCAAGTGGAACGTGCTTGTGCCCGTACGCTACTAGTACGTGTCGACGAGCGCACTGCGGCCGTGAGTTTGATGACGTCAGGGAGGGAGAAGCAATTTTATCTGACCGTGTCACCATTGGTGCTGGGGATGGAAAGCGACGGAGGGAGGACGAAGCCGTCGACATGCCTGCCTCTGCCTGCACGACCAGCGTGCGTCAACACCTGTTGCCGACTGGGCCTGGCGATGCTGCATCGCTTTACACAACCTATTGCAGAATCTACTATCTCCTAACCTTTGTACGCTATGATTTGTGGCTGCAAACAGCTCAAATCTTAGGCCGCTCACCAACGTTGCTCGGAAACACATTATATACTTTGCCTAATTATTAAGCATGCCGCGCAATGGTATTTTTGAGTTCACACGCTGCCATGAAATATTAAAATCAATGCCGGGTACTCCCTCCGTTCTCAAATATAAGACCTTTTAGAGATCTCAATACAGACTACATATGACGCAAAATAAGTAAATTTACATTTTAAAGTGCGACTGTATACATCCGTATGTAGGCCGTATTGAAACCTCTAAAAGGTCTTATGTTCAGAAACGAAGGGAGCAGTACGGGAAATATGCTCGTTCGAAGAAAGAAAATGCTAGTACAACAACAACAACAACAACAACAACAAAGCCTTTAGTCCCAAACAAGTTGGGGTAGGCTAGAGGTGAAACCCATAAGATCTCGCAACCAACTCATGCCTCTGGCACATGGATAGCAAGCTTCCACGCACCCCTGTCCATAGCTAGCTCTTTGTCGATACTCCAATCCTTCAGGTCTCTCTTAACGGACTCCTCCCATGTCAAAATCGATCGACCCCGCCCTCTCTTGACATTCTCCGCACGCTTTAGCCGTCCGCTATGCACTGGAGCTTCTGGAGGCCTGCGTTGAATATGCCCAAACCATCTCAAACGATGTTGGACAAGCTTCTCCTCAATTGGTGCTACCCCAACTCTATCTCGTATATCATCATTCCGGAGTCGATCCTTCCTCGTGTGGCCACACATCCATCTCAACATACGCATCTCCGCCACACCTAACTGTTGAACATGCTAGTCTTAAGTGAAAAATATTTGGGAGCATAACAAGGGTAATGATAATGTACGCTCTTCTTGTGGATAATACCGCATCTTTGCATCATTCGTAAACAAGAAATATATCCACTAGCAGGACCAAACATTCATGCCACAAGGTAGGACACACCATAAGTACACTGCTCAGCATACTACAAGTACAGGTATTCTATACGGAAAGTCAATACGGGTTCACAAGACCTAACAAGGGCTCTCAGCACGGGATCATACAACTACAGTGTTCATCTCTACAACAAATAATCATCAAAAGAAAATAAAAATTAGGCGAAGCGTGCGAACATGGGGAAAAAATGAATACAGAGGGGGGAACGAAATGAAAAAGGCTTCCTTTCACAATACAAACCCTGCTTGATGCTCAAGTTCGTTCACTACCACAGCATCCACCAAGCAGAGCATCAAATCAATTAGAGAGGTGAGTAACACAATTGATCCTTTCCTTCCAGCTGTAGGTAGGTATACACTTTGGTCACGATGCGGCGAAGCGGCTCGCAAGCAGCCAGGGGGCATCATGGGCGAAAAAATTAACAAGAATAGCACACGGGAGACTGACTTTCAGCAAAAAGATTTGTCTGCGGCCAACAAACTTCAGCTAGTTATCAAACCTTTGGTGCAGAGGTCGGCACCGATTTCACATCATCACAGGAAGTAGTCTGGCGTTCTACGAGTTACGTCTGGTTCTCCCCTTCTCGGGGCCGGCTCGAACTGCAGAATCACACAATCACAGGAACTCAATGAATAAAAATCCAACATGATCAACACGTGCAAAAATACCCAGTTTGTGAAAGCCAAAAAGCATTGCTCAAACATTTTGGTGTGACTTCCTATGGATTCTCAAATTGGCCATACTGTTCATCTATTGGTCCATGTATCAGTGTCTAACTGTCAATCACTTGACCAGTTCAGTTACTGATGTCACTTGGGGTAACATGAGTGGATCTGTTATTTCTCCTCAAATTATCATAATTCTTCATCTTTAATCAATGATATATAATTGATCAAATCTACCAGAACAAATGTAGAAATGAGATATATATAATGTACCTGGATGAAAGTATGCTCCCGGCAATCATCAACTTCCAAGATTGATGCCATGTTTCCACAGCGGTAGCAATAATTAGGTGCACTAAATATGGTGACCACTTTTTGCTCCTGTTTGATGCAGTAACGTGTTAACCAGATGTAGTACGGACCACAGACAAAAACAAGTGTGGATGCAGATACTAACATGAGCCCAGTTGAATCCCTCCATCACCAACTGGTGAGCTCTAGCAATAAGTCGTAAGTTATTGGTATGATTGAACTGCTCTGATATATCCTGAAATGATAGGAGTTGCAAGGTCAGTGGAAAATGACCGCAGAATTGGCATATAATACATTGAGCAAATAATAATTTTCTGTATAAGAAATACCTGTCCGAAGGTATATCCAGCGCCTCGAGGAGAAATACCCCAACCGCATCGATCATCGGGGTCAGACCACAGAAGATCACACATGGGCCCTTCATGAGGAACTTCTTGGGTGCGGTCAAAGTTACGTATGTTATCAAGTGTCTCAATGGATGGTGATAATCCACCATGCAAGCAAAATATTTCTGACTCGACCTATGGAAAGTTTGCATGTCAATTTAACCAGATAATAATGTATAAAAAACTTGACATATAGGTCATCCTATAAATGGAAATGCTGCTGAAGTGCAATACACACCAATGCTGTCAAGGGGAAGTAGTCAAACAGATCCGTAAAGGTTTTCCACACAGTTGCATTTCCATACCTGCAATAAATGTGTTGCCAGCTTTATCTCAGATACTACAAGCAGAAACATAACCTGAGGCATCTTATTATTTTACTACTAGGTTATATACATTATATACAAACAAAGACACTTACTTCCTTAAGCACTCGTCATAGAATCCATAAACTTGAGTGATCTGCAAATGCCAAAATTATTCAATGAAACTGTCAATGTTTAAAAAATGTAATGGAACTGAAATATGCAAAAAAGAACATTAGAAGCTTCGTATGAGTAAGATAATCTACCTGTCGGCTTTCATGGTTTCCTCTAAGAATGGTGATTCGCTGAGGATAACGAACTTTCAAGGACACCAACAGCTGTATATTTCAAGGTTACATTAGTCACAAGAGCTACTATAGTAACAAACATATCACAAATTTCTTGGTAAGCTACAAGCAGATATTGCTCATTAACTCTTACCGTGACAGTTTCGACAGAATAGTAGCCACGATCTACATAATCTCCCATAAACAAGTAATTTGTATCCGGACACTGATAAAAACGGAGAAGACGTCAGTATAGTGAAGATCAGACTTCATTATAGATGACTCAAGAAGCTGGCACAAAGGAACATGAACAAGAGAACTTGTACCTTTCCACCAATTCGGAACAGTTCCGCAAGATCGTGAAACTGCCCATGAATATCACCACAGATTGTAACAGGACTCCTTACAGGCTGCAAGTAAACACCAACGTTAAAACTGCCGGCAAAACAATAACCCAATTGTGTATCTGGCAGACAGGAGGCACATAATTATATGAAGGGGTCATTGCATAGCACAAGTTCCACATATTCCATGGGGCTAGCTTAAGTCTGCATGGCCCATTAAAAAAATCTAACGCATGCCAGTTGCCAGACACAAAACAGAACAATAGTACATTTGGCATGAGTTCTGATAGCGGCTCCATCTTGTATATTCTATCCAAAACCATTGAAAGCAAGTAATTAATGAAAATGCTGGAGCAAGTTTGCTGAGATGTCCAACTACCATTATCAGCAAGACATGTGGCTGCATTTATTAGTTCAACCTTTCACTAATCAACATAGTAGGACTGAAAGAATGGTACAGTCAACCAGTGCCATGCATTGCTTGTGTTGTTCAGGAGACTTCCTTAGTTTTTCTTTGGAAGGCATGTCCTAGCAGCAGCGGCTATATCCCATCACCTTTGTCGAGAATGGACAGACTTCAGGAGGAAGGAACAGACATCATGCAGTGTTGTTCTTTTACCCACATATTCAGGAAATATAGATATGCATGCACATCACAACAGTGTGTTATTTCTGCTATCTGAGATTTATTGCTTGATTGTGATATTGAAATTGTGCTTACTATAATGGGTAAAAATAGTATTGTTTCAAAGTACTAGATCTATTGTTTGCTAGTGTTAGTACAAATTTAGAACTTCTAGTATGGAAATACCAGTAGCAATCTTCCATACTTGTCAGTTGTCACCATGATTATGAGTCCAAGGACTAGTCAAGACTAGTCTATGAGTCTCAACTCCAGGGCCGACTAGTCTATGAGTCGCAACTTCAGTGTCGACTAGTGTAGATTACTCACACTTAGTCTATGAGTCTCAACCTCGGAATGACTCATCGACTCATCAACTCGTAAACCTTGGTGAACCTTGGTTGTCACCAAGGTTTACGAGTCAGACGAGACGTTCTGGGGTGGCGACTCATGACGAGTCAAGCCTGGCCGGTCGACAGGTCACGACTAGTCTCGACTAATCGAGGGGTTTGAGTCAACCCTGGCAGTGCGACTAGTCGCGCGACTCAAAAACAGTGGTTGTCACAATATCGTTATACCAGGTTTCTGACCTTGAAACTGCCAATATATTGCGATTACTATTGATGAGCCCGTGCTTGGCAGTTTGAGGTCAGGGTCGAGGGAGACCCAGTTCAATATTGGAGCATATTGTTTTGTAGTCCGCAGGAAGTACAGATGTCTGCACATCTCCTCGTAAAGTTAATTGCACTCCTTTCTTTGATTGTGTTTACTCGTCGATTTGGCCAACATACTCAAGTTATTTTGAGTTCCCGAATATGAAAAAAATCTAATTTGCTGAAAGTGTTTGGTGATATGAGCAAAAGATCCATGATAACAGAAACTCCACGAGTAACGGCTCTAGCACTCTCAACAGAAACAATTGTGCTTGTTGAACAATGTATCGTAGGATCCGTTATGTAACAGAGTTCTGTTACCTCAGGATACATCTTATTCTGAACAGATAGAACCACCACATTCTAGAGTTTGAAAGACCAGTATTGTTCAATGTTCATAAAACCTTGAGTACAAGTTATAACAAATCCTTGTCTTGTTCACTCGACTAGTGCCTTGTGGCTTTCTCTGAATACCAAAATGGTGAGACTAATTGTGATGCACACAACAAGGTTGAGACTGAGACAAGATGTGCTAGCTCATGGCAAGGAAGCTCTGACCAGTCGAGTAAAGGCAGACATCTCGGTAGAGAAGTAAAGTAGTATACCTGAACATTGCTCTCCTCCATCAAAATCTCCTTGGCCTTCTCGCACAGTGCTCTAACCTGTACGGCACATATTCAAGGATGAGAGCAAATCGATGGCAAACTATCTATACTGTAGCTCTTTGGAAGGCATCTAATTTGGCCGAAGGTGGAAACTTTGGAGGTTTGGACAAGCCATATGCCTCCCTAACGAATCCACCCTGCGTGACTCCTCCATCTACCCCACCCAAGATCAACCAGCTGCCAAAATTCGTTTCTTTTTCTTTTTCAGGGGAGCAGCTGCCAAAAATCAATGTGACCTTGCGTGAGCAGGACGGGCCCTCGAACAGCAACCAATTGCGAGAGCATAACAGCTCTGCTTCGCTTGCAATCGCGAGAGTAACCAGCAACCACCGAAAACCCGCCGCAGGGACCAGCGAAACGGCCATTTCCGAGCAAGCTAGCAGCGAAACGGAGCCCCGGAACCCCGATCTCCCCCGGAGCCCCGGCGGGCGCCGGAATTCCGCCAGATCTGGCGAGACCCGCCCACCCAGGACCACCGGCAAGAGAGAAAGGCAGACGCCGGCAAGAGAGGGAGGGCGCCGGAGGAGGACGGCGGTTGGTTGGTTGGTTACCTCGGCCTCGGGGAGGGGCTTGCACTGCATGAGGCGCTCGATCTGGTCG